TATGCTGTATACTGGATTATGTACCAAAACATGTACATCAAATGTTATTATTTTTTTTTCTGATTTTATTTTTTTTAAGAAAGATGTGCATTAATCAGCTTGCGTGTTCTGTAATTTATATACTCTTACATTATATACAGAATTGTATCTTTTTATGTCTATAAAACATTAAAATATAACTTTACACATGATTCCAAAGCTATTTATATACAGACCTTATGTCTTTTTTGACAGAGGAAAAAACATTTTCTAAATGTATTTGTAGAACGGCAGCCCCAGAAGTGCATGATGCCAAGCTGCTGGGCAGTGAAATCATTAAAAGGACCAAAATTAAACTGGAAAGAGCAGTATGATAAGAATAGACTTGGGTTTGCTCCTTCTAGCAATTCATTTGGTTGTGTGTGTGTAATAAAAGAGATAATCCATTGCTATATGGTGTAGTTGATATATCCATAACATTTCATCACATGCAGTTCCAGATTTCATAAACTGGAAATGGATTTCTGAATAGCTATAGTCTAGTTTCATTATTGTACTTCTGTATTGGTACTTCATTAAAGTGTTTTACTATATAGGACTACTATTAAATCTTATGCATGTTCTTTCTATCCTTGTTATTGTGGTGCTTGTGTATTACCACTGTATCTGTTTCAGTCTAGCTCTTTCTTCTATGGCATTTTGATATTTTGTTAATTTTTATAAATGTAAAACATAAATTCTCAATGTATGCTTGGCTTGAAATGGGTGAACTGTAAACTGGGTAAATGGTGGAAGTATAGGTGAGTTCATTATAATAAAATTCAAATACAATAGCTGTGATATAGAGGTGAAAGTACTGGATTATTCTGCCCATGGAATATCATAGGACACAACTGATTTAATATGTACTGAATGCCACTAATCTGTAACTTTGGATTCACACCCAACACCGTAAATCAACAAGCTTTATGCATGAGAATTTTAATAGGGCACTGTTATTCAGATTTCTACTGATTTTTTTTGAGATTTTCTTTTAGCTGGTCAGGGTACTATCTATTCATGAAGTTAATTAAATTTCTTGTCATATATTATATTTTAGGCTTAGCTGACCCAAACCCAATACAGAGTTCCAAAATAGAATATACTGACAAAGGACAACAAAACAGTATAACTGTTAAAATTAATTATTTGGCAAAGACAGAATGCCATGATTTGTTTGTAGAAAAAAAACGTTGCCCCAACATATCTAATCATATGTGAAAATAGGGATACAGTGCCATTATCATTCTGCTTGGACTAGGTCTTAGTAAACTAGATCTTGCATGGAAGGGTCAGGGATTAATGTATAACTCACTCTGCACATTATTATCAGCAGGGCAGTACAGGGTCACTTCTTTCATTTACAAAGAAATGAAAGGAAATAATAGCTGCAGCTCTGTATAGAGCCTTCTATAATGAAGAATGAAAAGATATGAAATGCACTCCCAAGGGAGCTTGCATAGGCAAGCTCAACGCACACATTATGGTGAGATTAAAAGAGCACATCACACAGAGCTACAAAAATATCTTCATAGTTAGCAATTTGTTGTTTCTGAAAATTATTTGGCTTTCAAAAGGTAATTTTATTTATTTTTTTATGTTACAACTTGCAGTATATCCAATTGGATAGTCTGCATTAATCTGATTCATTGTAAAAATACCATGGAGGTGCAAAAAGAAAAAAAAAACTGTACTCATGTTAAAGGAGGAGTTATGTGGATTTCCCTGTTGTGCCCCAGTGGTTACTGATTTATAAAACTGACTAATCTCTCTTGATGTCTTTTATTTGTCTAAGCAAGATAAATGGTCTAGTTTCACTAAACAACATTCAGAAGAGTGAGGTGAGATGAGCCTGGTAGATACATATTACTTACCTCTATATTTCCATCAACTACACCAAAGGTGAGCAGGTCTGGGCAATTCCTTCACCTTCCTCTGCCTGGAATACTAGACCCATAGAAATTTGCCATAAAAGCTGGCAAATGTCCAACATCAGACAAAGGGCGCTGAGAGACGTGAAATCAGAATTTTCTACAAGGGACAATATAATGCAACACCTCTCAAAATGAGTTTCTCTTTATGGTGTCAATTTCCTGCTGGTACTTGCTGTGTAGGACCTTCTTAGAAGATATTTTGTTTTGCCCAGCTACTTTTGTCAATAGTAAAGGTAAAGCATGTGTAAATTTAGCCTAGGGCACCGTTACACATATAGCGGTAATATCTTCCTTCCAGTAGTTTCTTTGAGGGATTACATGGGCATCTCAACTTAAGCTGCTGCTAGTGGATGCTTGGTTAAAATACTTGGTCTATACTACATTATGTAGGGGGAAGATCTCTTTACTGGGAAACTGTATAGTAGTGAAGACCAAGAAGGGTACTGATCTTGTCCTATTTCACCAAAAAAGTGAAAATGCATTTTGGGTGGTATTGCGCTTTAAAAATCAGGTACAGAAGTGATTTTATGTTTTAATAGCAGACTGACATAACCACCTCCACTGAATGCTATTTAGGGAAGCTAATTTCTAATACTTTATATATGAAGAAAAATAAATGTCCGAATCTAAGCTACAGTCCAGGACTAAAACAAATTTGTTTAAAACTGCTATCGAAAGTACAATAATTATTGTTATGTAAACATTTGACCATAATTCACACAATATATGTTATCTTATCATGCCTATAAGTAAAAATATTACTCTATCTATAAATTGTAGGCATGTTATATTTCTATTGCTGAAAGGTAATATACAACTCCTAGCAAACCCTGTGAATTACATGAGGAGTGAGCTCTGCTACTCCAAGTTTTAATTGGGGACCCTTATTATTACCAAGCACCCTACAGCAGAAAAATATACTAAGCATACGCTGTTTATGCCATTGCCATCAAAGCAGCATAGGACAAGCTGCTGTATGTCTGATCAAGATTAAAAAATCCCATAGGTCTAAGGTACATAAGTACCTTTATCTTGGTTTTATTGCTATGAAAAAGCTTGCAAGCATCTTTAAAACTGAACTCCACATAAATATAAAATACAAAAATATTTGTGGCTCTTAGTTTATAATAAATCAGTAAATATATTTTTCAATGTTACTAGTTTATCTACCTGAATTTGACTGGATATCAGCCTTTTACAATCCCCTGGTTAGCAGCACTCAGACTGGAAGAGAGAGGGGCAGCACTTGGAACCAATCAGGTGTGCTGCATGCAAATCTGTTGGTAGGGACATGCTAAGAGGAATGGAAATCAGGATTTGAAGATGAGTGATCTCATCAGTCTACTGCTTCACTGTCAAATTGGCAGGCTAGGGTTATAGAGGTGTCAGCAGTAAATTCCTTAAAAGAGAATGTGGTGCCATCTACCTGTGCTCTATGATGGAAATGTGCAAATTTCAGATGGAGATGTGCAAAAATTATTTAGCAGGTATAACAGATAACTGTTCCCCTGTATGCATTTTATATGAACTCAAATGTTTGCCTGGAGTTAAGCTTTAAGAATTTTTGCAGGCTTCAACTGTAGTCCTTCAATGATTTCTTACAATGAATAGGTAACAACTAATTTTATCTATATACTGTACGTACAAATAATTATTTTTCTGTATTACATTGATAGTAATTTGATTGTAAACAAGAGGCTTGCACAAATCAAATGAGGACATGGTAATTGAAAGAATATTCCTTTAACAATTACAAAGGGATCTAAAGATGTTCTCCATGTAAGAACTCTTTCACCTAACTCACAAGTATCTGTAAATTGTCTGTATTCAGGCATATCCTGCTGATATGGACTTTTTAGAGAGTTGTTACCATATACACCTAAACATTTATAAACAATCATTAGCTCTTCCATGGATGTTGTAAATCACTGACAGACCTCCTTTTGGAATCTTTCAATAGAGGGTATTACAGTGACATTCGAGTATGCATGAACACAAAGGTTATAAAACGAATTGAAATGTGGTGGAAATATTATGGCCAAAATATATGTAATCGCCTTTTCTTGTAGCTGAATGAAAAGAAGTTTAATTTACCTAGTCTTGGTCAGTTGAATGATATGCAAACTGCTGCTGCAGTAAAGGTACAATGATAATATAGCTTATCTAATTATTCAACATTATGATAATATTCTATAACATACCTGCAATGTTGTGTATGTATACGTTTCTGCTGTAAGCACTTGGTAATTTACTGCATATTAAAGAGTATAAAATAATTTTAAATTCAGTACTTTGTTATTAAAATGTTACTTACTATCATAAAACACAAGAAACACCTATTTCTAAATGACTGGGTAAAATTCATTTTAAAATAAGGACGTTTTTTGGATGCCAATAATACCAGTCTGTACTACCATATTGTAGTACTAATGAAATATTGAGCATGTGATCAGCATGATGTCTCCTAGGACTGCAAAAAAATTTAAATAGCGTATTTATACTATATGAAAATTGAAGTAAAAAGAAAATAAGCAAATACACCATGATTCACAAAATGGTATCCCAACCTGCCCTGTTGTTAATGAAAAAAACTATAAAGTAAAGCAATAAAATGGAATACATCTGCTTTAAAACAATATGTTAGCTATACAATATCTGATACATTTTATATTCTAAGTTATGTTTACTCAAGATTTTATGTGTTAGAGGTAATTGAAGTTAAATGAACTGATTATCTCCACTGGGCATACTAACAAATTACTGTGAAAATAAACATAATAAAAACAGCATTATCATCTTTTCGAATCTAAAATTATTTTTAAAGATTAGTTATTTTAATTACCAGACATGATAATACCATATTATACAATCTCATTTTCTATAATTTTCAATTCAATTTAGCAAATTTATATTTGGCTTGGAAAATATGTAAGTAATGCTGTAACCCTTATGTTCCTCTTATATTATTTTTATGTTATATACACCCAGAATGGAAGCAATTTATTGAAAAGCCATTGTTTCCTTTTTTGAAAATACCAAAAAAAAATG